ATTGTGGACTGTATACCCTTTTGCTGTAATTGAGTCTTGATTGCTGTTGGCACTTCATTGGGAGGATTTGCTCAGGCTGATCAGCTGCAAGGACTGGCTGTGCCCACTGACCACTGGCCTCTGACTACCTTGGAGGATCAGCTGTGTAGGGGCCCAACACACAGAGCAAGACTTACTTCATCAGGGCTCTGGTACCCACTGAGTCTGCTCATTGAGTGTGTCACTTGTGGAGGTGCTTGGGTGGTGGTTTTTCGATGTGGTCTGAAGCTGTCTACTGGGTGTGTTGGCTCTGGGGCAAGGCCAGCCACTGTCTGTGTTCTATCCGGGGTCACCCAGCATAAGCTACAGAGTGATCTGCAGATGGCTGCTTCTTGTCCTGGGCTTGGAGATGCCCAGGAAAAGCCAAGTTGTGATCCAAGGCTAGCTGCTTCTAATGCCAGGCCTGGGGCCACTTAGTGAGAGGTATGGGGCTTGCTGAGACCAGATACCGCTTGTTTGAAAGATTTTAGGACACTGTGAAGCAGGATCCAAGACAGGCCAGTCCTATGGTAAAGACTTTGGAAACAGCTTGGATGGAGTAAGGCCTCAGGGAATCACTAGGGTGGGGCAGACAGTGTGAGCCAGGGTGCTGCACTCCCAGCCATGGCGGCTGTCTGCTGCCCCAGGGAAGGGGTTGCCAAAGCAACATCAGCTTCCACCAGCATGTTGTCCAGGAGAAAGCTGCCAATTTCAGGCGGTTCTGAATGGTTCTTGTGTTGTAGTTTAGTAGTTGTAATTTTGATGTGGTTGTGGGAGGAGGCGAGTACCGTGTTTACCTACACTGCCATCTTGACCAGAAGTCTTTTTTATCAGTGTTTAATAAAGCATTTTTGTTTATTGCTGTGGTCTTTAAGATAGCTTTTTTTGGTTTTATCCTCATCTGAGGACATTTTTGCATGTATCTTCAGATAGAGCGGGAGGGAGAGAGGGAGGAAGAGAGAGAGAGAAACATCGATATGAGAGAGACACATTGAGTGGTTGCCACCCACACGACTGCAACTGAGGCTGGGGACAAACTGCAACCACGGTACATGCTCTTAGTGGGAACCAAACCCAGGACTCTCCGGTCCACGGGCCGACGCTCTAACTGCCGAGACAAACTGGCCAGGGCTAAGACAGTCATTTTTAATGACTACTAAATATTATATTCAATAGATGTACTTTAGTTTACCTAGCTATTCCTCTATAATAAGATATGTAAGTTGTTTATAGTTTTCTATTATCTTTCATAATTCTTGGATAGACATCTGTGTGGGTGAGTGTATGTTGTGTAGAAGAGAGGGAGAAAGAGAAGAGTGAATCTTTTTCCTTACATAGGATTATTTCACTGAATTAACTCATAAGTGGAATTACTGGGTCAAGGAATATGACATTTTTAATAATTTTGTGTGCATATTGCCAGACAGGTGTCCAAAGTGGCCTGAGGTCCTTGCCCCAAATTTTGTGTGTATGTGTGTGTGTATATTTTAACCATTACTAATATGGGCAAAGATAATGTTATTTTTATTACTACTGGTATCTGTGCTTACTACATGCTAGGTATGGTGCTACTTGTCATATTCAATATCACATTTTTGTTTGCTTTGCATTTCTGTAATCATCAGTGAAGGTAAATATTTTCTAGTATATATTTTTTCTATTTAAATACCTATTTGTGAGAAAGACCATTTGCCTATTTATTGTGGTGGAATTAGTGTTCTAAGTGGGGATGGTGTTCTAAAGTATTCTGAAATGAGTTTAGAAACTCCTCTTCTCTCCTTGAAAATACAGTGATAGTTCAAATCTAAGAGCATGTTAGCCTTTCAGTATCAGTACTTGATTAAAAAAATTTTTTTTTCTTTATTGATTTTAGAGAGAGAGGAAGGGAGAAGGAGAGAGATAGAAACATAGATGAGAGAGGACATTGATTGGCCACCTCCTGCATGTCCCTCACTGGGGATTTGTTCCACAACCTCTTGGTGCATGGGTCGACACTTAACCACTGAGCCATACCTGCCAGGCAGTACTTGATTTTTTAGTTTCTTAGCCATATACTTTGTGTAATCCTTGACATATTTAATGACATAATATTGCCATATATCTTAAAATAATAAGACTTTATTCTAAACATGATATTCAGAGGAATTGTGTGTATTTGCAATCACCTAAATTCATTTCTGTTACCATATGTTCTCATATCTGTCAGTAGTATCTTTTGTTTGTTTGTTTGTTTATCCTTACCCAAGGATAGTTTTCCATTTACTTTTACATAGAGTGGAAGGGAGGAAGAGGGGGGAGAAAAAGAGAGAAAAAAATATCAATGTGAGAGAGATACATTGATTGGTTGCCTTCAGCATGACCCCGACCAGGGCAAGGGATCAAACCCAAGACCCTTCCCTTTGGACCTAACTGCTGAGCTAAACCAGCCAGGGCAACAGAATCTATTTGTTTTAAGTAGTATTGCTAAAATATACATTCCTTAAGGGATTGAGTATACTTTAATGGACAAAAAAATGTATTGAATTCAGCCTGGTTTATAATTTTGACTTTACTTTTTATTAGTTTTAGAACCTTAGGCAAATGTCTTACTTCATTTCTATTTCCTTATTTATAAAGTAAATTTCAATTCTCTGATTGTTACCAGTGAGAATGTTTCCTAGCATTAAGGATTTGTTTCTAAAATAAATAACTCCTGAAGTAGGGTGACACAGCACATGGTACAGAGTAGACATATGTGTTGATTATTAGTAAATTTCAGTTTGAAATAATTATGATTTGATTGCTTACTCATGCCCACCATTTTGTTAAGATTCATTAGGAATACAAAAGTAACATAGAGCTAAATAGTAGGGAGGAGTAAATAGAGATGATGCATTTCAAAGCCCATAGCATAGTGTCTCTAATATAGTAAAATCTCAGTAAATGTTAGTGGTATTTGCTACTCCCTAATTTCTGTATGTAAATAATTGAAGGTAAATGGAGATATAGGTGAAAAGGCAAAAGTGGACCATTAGAAATTACTCATTTCCTGCCCTGGCCGATTTGGCTCTCTGGTTAGAGCGTTGTCCTGCGGTCCAGAGAGACCCGGGTTCCGTTCTTGCTAAGGGCACGTATATCGGTTGCAGTTTGTCCCCGGCCCTGGTTGGTTCGTGCGGGTGGCAGCCACTAGATGTGTACCTTTCGCATTGATGTTTCTCTCTCTCCCTCCCACTATATTAGTCATTTCCTTCTTTGGACACTAAATATTAAGTTTTTTTTTTTTTTTAAAGGAAATGACTTTCTTCAACAAATTAATTCTCATCCATCACATTTCTAAAGTTTTCTATGGGTAGAGAAACTTAAGTGGTAAATGAACAATTTGGTCAGTTACATAGGACAGGATATTATCTCTGAAATAATATTGTGTGCACATATGTGTACATGTGCATATGTTTACGTGTGGTTTTCATTATTTATTGAAATGGATATCTAATTATAGTTTGATCTTTTTCTTTTTACAGTGTCTTGGTGTGTGAAGTTATAGATATAGGTGTATGTGAGAGAGTTAGGAACTGGATATAGAGAGAACAATGATAAAATTTAAAATGGACAGGATTGGGTAATTGGTACTCTTGGGTGATGTGTATATACTGTTACCAGGATAATGTAGTGGTTAGATTTTTTGTTCTGAAGTCAGTCTGCTTGGGTTTAAATTCTGGCATTTCCAGTTGTTAACCAGGCAACCTCAAAGAGGATATTCAGCCTCTCTGAGTCATTGTCCTCATCTATAAAATTGGGTTGATAATAGTGTATATTTTATAGGGTTTAATTGATGGTTACTTGAGATACATACAGTTTGTAGTGTCTAGCACAATGGCTGGCTCCCAAGTTATTAACTAATGCTGTTGATAATTGATTGCACTAAGACTATATCTACTGGTAGCTACCAGAATCCAAATGATGGCTCTGTATCTAAAATTGACTGATTTTCATAATTCTTGGAATAACCTGACAGCTATATTCTAAGTAAAGTAAAACTTTGGGTGTACTTCTCTTATTGCAGTTATATAAGCATAAGTAGATTGACTAGACTAATGGAAACATAGAAGTTTTTTCACTGAATTCAGAAATGAGGTAATTTTATGAATCATTAAATGAATTAAATAGCACATTAGTTCTGTCACATTTCTCTTTGGTCAGTTATTCTCCCATGATAAGTGTTTTGAATTGAAGTGTGTTAAAAACCAAAAGAGAAGTCATTTGAAAAAACAGATAATTTACAAATGGTTTTATTCTCTTTCAAAATAGAGTAACATTTCAGAGACTGTCAGCCTTTCAGTCAGTACTTACTGAGATTATATGGAATGTAGATATAAAAATACTAGAATTTGCAAAAGGAATAATTTATAGTAAATATAATTTTACTGATAATGAATTTAGTGAACAAGAAATGTTATCTTTATATAATATAATATAAAAATATTAGAAATGGTTTATAGTAAATATTTTAGATTTGAGGAAAGGGTTTATTTGGAATTACTGTTTAAGCGATATTTTGAATTTGTTTATTCTATATTGAGCAATATTATGTATGACTATTATAGTAAAAACATAGATCCTTAAAATGCATAGATTATAAAGTCTTATAATTTAAAGAAACAGTCTGTTCCTTTTTAATAATAACTATTACTTATTAAGCAGTTACTGTGGGGTAGGGACTTTAATAATTACTCAGAATACATTGTTAATTTTGTTTATGTCACCCATATATATGGTACTATAATGCTGCATTTTATCTACAACCATTTCAAATAATATGAAATAAGTTCTTTCTCATATTGTAATTTTCAGTGTCTTTATTATTCAAATACTGTGCTTAAATATTATGTGGGAAAATTGCAAAATTTCTCTGATATGGGGATATTTAAATATGTATTTTATGTTCCCACAAGCCTAAGAATCTTAAGTATTACATTGATTGATAATTGTTTCCTTTGTTGCAGAACTGTAAGAGTAAATGGGTCCAATAATTGGAATGACTCCAGAAAAGAGAGCTGAAACTCCAGGAGCTGAAAAGGTTGCAGGATTAAGCCAGATTTACAAAATGGGAAGCTTGCCTGAAGCTGTTGATGCTGCCAAGCCAAAGGCCACTCTAATGGACAGTGGTGAATCAGCAGATGATGAACTCACAAATTTGAACTGGCTTCATGAAAGTACTAATCTTCTAACAAACTTCAGTTTCGGAAGTGAAGGTCTTCCAGTTGTTAGTCCCTTGTATGACATAGAAGGAGATGATGTGCCATCATTAGGACCATCTTGCTACCAGAACCCAGAAAAAAAATCAGCAACTTCAAAGCCCCCATACTCTTTTAGTCTTCTCATTTATATGGCTATAGAACACTCTCCAAATAAATGTTTGCCTGTCAAAGAAATTTACAGCTGGATTCTGGACCGCTTCCCATATTTTGCTACTGCACCAACAGGCTGGAAGAATTCTGTTCGACATAATCTGTCCCTAAATAAATGTTTTCAGAAAGTGGAAAGAAGCCATGGCAAGGTCAGTGTTACGAACATTTGAGGGAGGTTGGGGAGAGTTAACATGGAGACTTTAAAATAAGGGGAAATCAAAGGAAGACAAAAACAGCCAAGTCAGATTACTTTAGCTTAATTATATTCATTATTTGCTTTCAGTCTACCATAGGTACATAAATTAGTGTTTTTAATGTTCTAATTTTCTATTATTAGTTTCTGTAGTGTTTCTCTAACTATCAGAATATTATTCTTATTTATTCAGTCTGAGAACTTTTGCCTTATAATTGGACTATAGACCATTTACATTGATGTAATTGATATGGTTGGATTTAAACCTATTACTATACTATTTGTTTTCTATTTGCTCAGTCTGGTTTTTTTCCCCTTTTTTCCACTTTTTCTGCCTTCTTTTGGATTATTTTTTTATTATTCAGTTTTATCTCTACTATTGGCTTATTAGCTATTACTTTATTTTTTTAGTGGTTACTATACCGTTTTCAGTATATATATCTTTATCACAATCTACCTTCAAATAATGTTATACCACTTTCATTTATTATCTAGACTTTTACAGAAAATATTGACTAATCCTGATGTCCTATCTGGATCAATTCATTTTTTTCTGGAGAAGTTTAACATTTCTTGAGGTTCAGGAATGGTAACAATGAAATATATATATATATATATTTTTTTATCCTCATCCAAGGACATTTTTCCATCTTTTGTTCTGATAGAGTGGAAGGGAGGGAGAGGGAGAGGGAGAGAGAGAGGGGGAGAGAGAGAGAGAGAGAGAGAGAGAGAGAGAGAGAGAGGAAGGAACATCGATGTGAAAGGGACACATTGAATGGCTACCTCCCACATGACCCAACCAGGGCCAGGGACAAACTACAACTGAGGTACATGCCCTTAGCGGGAACCGAACCTGGGTCTCTCTGGACTGCAGGCTGACGCTCTAACCGCTGAGCCAAACCGGCCAGGCCATCAATGAAATATTTTTTCAACTGTTCTGTGGAGGAGGGGTATAGAATTCTAGGTTGGTAATTTTTTCCCTTAAGTATAGTAGTGCCCCCCGTCCCCCTTATCTTCTGGGTTATGTCCCAGGATCTCCAGTGGATACAGATAGTATGGAACCTTATATAAATGAATAGACTGTATTTTTCTATACATACTTACTTATGATAAAGTTTAATTTGTAAATTAGACACAGTAATAGATTAACAGTAACTGATAATAAAATAGAACAGTTGTAACAATATATTGTAATAAAAGTTATGTGAATTTGACCTCTCTCTTATTCTCTCTCAAAATATCTTCTTATACTGTAATCACCCTTATGCTTGTGATGATGTGAAATGATGAAATGCATACGGGGTTCAATGAGGTAAGATGAATAATGTAGGCACTGATAGCTCTAGGCTATTATTGACCTTCTGACCATATGTCAGAGGAAGGTCACCTGCTTTAGGTGATCTGGATTATCAAACCATGACAGTCTCAGTGGTTGGATGTCAACAGCAAATGATGTCAATGGCTGACGCAATTGAATATTTTTGCAACTGAAACTTCAGAGAACAAAAGCACAGATAAAGGGGAACTACCGTACTTTAAAGGTGTTGCGCTCCTGTCTTTTGGCTTTCATAGTTTCTAATGAGAAGTCTGCTTATTTCTTACCTTTGTTCCTCTGTTATGTTTCTTTATTAACTGTCTTTAAGATTTTTTTCTTTATCACTAATTTTCAGTAGTTTGACAATGATTTGCTTAGTTTTTGTTTTTCTTTATTTTTATCTTGCTTTGGTTTTTCAGAAGTTCTTGGATCTGTGTTTTGTTGTCTTTCATTAAATTTAGAAAAATTTTGCTCATTATCTCTTCAAATATTTTTTTTTTCTTTATTGATTTTAGAGAGAGAGGAAAGGAGAAAGGGAGAGGGAAAATCAATGAAAGAGAATATCTATTGGCTGCCTCCTGCATGCCCCCCACTGGGGTTTGGGCCCACAACCTAGGCATGTGCCCTGACCAGGAATCGAACCGGCAACCTCTTGGTGCATGGGTCAACGCTTAACCACTGAGCCACATCAGCCAGGCTCTTCAAATATTTCTTTTGGCTCACTTCCTGCTTCTGGGACTCCAAGTAAAAACATGTTGGACCATTTGCTGTTGTCTCACCTCTTAGTTGCTCTGCTCCTTTTCATGTTTTTTCTCTCTTTATTTCAATGTGGATACTTTTTATTGATCTTTGTACGGGTTTACTCTTTTCTCTGTTGTGTTCGTTCTGCTGATAAACCTGGTAAAAGATTCATCTTTTTTTTTTTTTATTCCTCACCTTAGGATATTTTTCTATTTATCATTAGATAAGAGTGGGAGGGAGAGAGAGACAGAGAAACATTGACATGATAGAGCTACATCGACTGGTTGCCTCCCATATAACCTGAGCAGGGTTGGGGATGAACCACAACTGAGGTATGTGCCCTTGACCAGAACTCATTGGTCTGCGGGCCGACACTAACAGCTGAGCCAAACTGGCCAGGGCAGAGTCATATTTTTTAATTTTAGCATTTGTATTTGCCTTTTAAAAAATACTCTCCATCTCTTTGCTAAAATTTTATACTAGATCCATAAATATATTAATCATGCTCATTATCTCTTAATATCTGATCATTTCAATATCTAGTCCATCTCTGGGTCTGATTTTTGTTTTATCTCCTGTTTTTGTGTGTGTTTCATAATTTTGGATTGAATGTCAGTGTAAGAGAATGGTAGAGGCTGAGGTAAATAATATTTCTACCCAGAAATAGACATGCCTATACTTCTATCAGGTTGTTAGAGTGAACAGGTATTGGTCAATCTAGTTAATTGAACTGGGATTGGGTTTTGTTGTTTTTATAGTTACCTTCAGCATACCACAGGCCTTAAATCCCTACAGAGATGAACTGTCAATACTTTGTGCTTAGTGTGAGAACTGGAGTATCAGATGATTTTTCTCAGCATTTCTACTTCACCTTCATCTTTCATCTTGCACCACATTTGGGGACAGGACATTTCTTTTCATGCTCTTGCCCTTTCCATAGATTGTTATTGCTTATTACTTGGTGCAAAGCTTTTGTGTAAGGTGAGTTTTTTAGTTTTTCTATTCCAGTTTTAGTCTTAAGTAGCTTCTTATGCCTGTGACTCGTGAGTGGGTATTTCATGCCTACTCCAGGAGCAGATAATCTCTCCCATCTACTCAGAGTGGAGTCTAGAACTGCATTCATCAATAGCTAATTATCTACACGTGGCTAGTGTTGGCATATTGGACAGCATACATATAGGATATTTCTGTCATTGTAGAAAGTCCTACTGGACCGTACTGCTCCAGAGCTCAGGCCAATTTCCTGCTTATTCCCATTATGGTGGGTAAACTTGCTAATATCAGTGGGATGTCTTAGGTATAAGTAAGTGACCACTTTCCTTTCTCAATGTAGCAGATTTGTGCTTTTGTGTCATTGGAGGATCTGGACACAAGCAGATTTTCTACCATTCTCCTAATGACACATGGCACATTGCCTCGTGTCAGTGATGTATGAAAATAGCTCAATTTTGTATTTCTCTTCTAGCAGCAGTCATTCTTTGCCTGAGACTGAGGTAGGTAGGGTATTTTGTCTCCCTCTCAGTAACAGACAGCTTTTGCTTCATATTGGAGCTTTGTCCAGAGTGTAGGAAGGTTCTGTGCCTATCCCATAGGGACACCTGATTTCACCTTACACTCATTTAGGGCCTGTAGCATGGATGAGCTGGCCTTGGCAGATTCTGTACATCTATCTTCATTTCCAAGAGTGTCTCTTTTAGGTCTCCTACCCTGTCTACAATCTTTCTCAGGAGCACAGGATGGAGGCCCATGAAAAAATGCTGGCTAGTGGACGCAGACTCTTTTCCTATTTGGGAATGCCAGGGATGCAAACTTATTTTGCTAGCTCACACTTGACTTTTAAGAATTTATTAAATTTTGAATATATATATTTTTTTTACCTTCTTTATGACTACCATTTCTTCCATGCTCTGCAACGGTAAAACAGTTCGCATGTTCTCTCTCTCCTGACAGGGCCCTGTCACAGTTTAGAATTCAGTTCTTTCAGTTGTCTTGCAGCTTTAGCTCTCAGATGGACTCATAAAATTATGATTTTGTAGATTATTTTGGTTTGTTGTTGTTAGGCTGGAAGTGATGTTCTCTTACGGCTTACTGTACCTTAATTGGCAGCAGAAGTCTATTCTTATGTGAAATAAAAGATAAAGAGTAAGTCATTATATTTTTAGGTGACTGAAATATTTTCTGGGATAGTACTGCTCAAACTTAAATGTACCAGCTGATCACCTAAGGATCTTGTTAAAATGCAGGTTATGATCTAGCAAATCTAGGGTGCAGAATGAGGCTCTTATTTCTAACAGGCTACCAGGTAATCCTGATGCTGTTAGTCCATCCTGGGTAGCAAGATATTAGGATATATGATCATCTTATAGCTAACTTAGAGAAAGTTGTATTAGTTATTTATTGCCATGTAACAAATTGCTATGTGTATCACATTCTGCACTGTACATGGAATATTTTACAAAGACCAACTATGTAGTAGGCCATTAAAAAAGTCTCAGTAATTTCAAAGGATCAATCTCCATCATAGTCAGCCTTCGAGATGGCCTTTAAATGAACCCTGCTTTCTGGTATTCATGGCCTTGTAGAGTCTACATTCATGGCCAGGGCTGAATTGTGTAACCAAAAGGATATTGTGGAAATGAGGGAGCATGCCTTTTGAGGCTAGGTCATAAAAATTATGGCTTCCATCTTGGGCTCTTGCATAACTTGTTCTATGGGAAGCCAGCTGCCATATATGAAAGACACCTAAGTAGCTCTATGGAGAGATCCATGCGGCAAGGAGATGAGGCCTCCCGCCAATAGCCATGTGAGTGAGTCATCTTGGAAGCGTATTCACCCAGCCCCACTCTAACTTTCCTTTCAGATGACTGAAAGTGTTGGAAATTTTGGATATGTCTTTTCCA